TATATCCGCGTTGTATTTCCCCCTACCGGAAATATAATACTAAACGATGAAGATGAAATCTGTGTTTATTTAGATTCGAATGAATTTACTTGCTTCGAATTTCAATCAGAGAGTATATTCAATCGTAACAGCTCGAGATCCAAGTGTATGCGTTCTACAAATCTAAACGAGCTTAACCCATAATCTATTTTCAAACCTAATAAATTAACAAATTAATAAATTAATCAATAAGTTCCAAAGGCTTTCGAAGGCCTTTTCATAAATAAATTAACAAATTCTAAGGCTTTCAATGCTTATTTTTCAATGCAAATAAATCCTGGTTTAATCTCATGAATATCATTATTTCCTATAATTAAATAATTATATTATATACTTCACGTACGAACTTTTTCACGAATTCATATTCTTTATGAATCTTTGTTAAATGCAATGCTGAAAGCGTTGCAGTATTCAAAGCTGCTGTTAATTATATACGTACAAGAATAATTAGTAATAAAATGTTCAATTCTCAAAATCGATATTTACGAAAACCTATGTCTTATATGAAAAAAGTATATTTCGCAATTTCTGCTTATTCCTTTATTAGGAATTCACTTCCGGGTTGTATCACGAATACTGGGACACCTTGCATACTGCCTTTTCAGGAACACCAAGTTGCGATTCATATGTAGATTACAAATGTTCAAAATTGACAATAACACTTAAAAATCGAATGTCTGCTTCGTGTAAAATATGCATTTTTCATTCGTTATTTATCGTGAAAAAAATTGTAAAAGTTACTGTACACGTTTTATATAACATTCAGCAAGTGATACGTCATTTCGTCGTAAAATAAAAGTAACGCGTGATTATGTTACTATTACCAATGGTTCAAATAAATTCATCTGAATTTCGCTACTTTAAAAATAATTAAACTGATGATATCGTACTGTCTAATTGCAAGTACCAATATCTTCTTAAAAACTACAAAATGCATTTCTCTTTTTACTATAATATAACAATATTATAGCAATTACAAAAAAAAATAGTTCATAAAAATGAACTGTTTATTTTATAATTTAAAATTGCTGTAACTTATTACAATCCATAAAATTCTATCATGCCTGAATAGTACGAATAAAAAATTATATTTTCACAAAAGCATGCATCTAGACGAAATCATACAAGGAGGATAACTTTTCGTCTTTTACATAAACAAAACACAAACATGCATAACGAGTTCGATAAGTTACTTTGTTAATCAATATCCAGCAATTTCTTAGATTTGCACGAATTGCAATACAGTTAGTTTTTCTTAAATTCTACGTACAGTTATTCAAGTGAAACTGAAGTAGTTGTCCTCAAATGACTCAGTTACGTGTTACTCAATTTGAAATAGTGGAATTATTTTACAAGCTGGATCTTGATTATGCAAACGTGCCACCTTCGAGCGCACTGCTAAACAAAGTATACCACAAAAAATTGTATTAACACGTTGCTGAACTATTTATCTATTTTCTTTTTTTATTTTAAATATCTGCACATCTCAGTGCAATTCGACAATTTATCAAAAAACTTCGAAAATATTGCAAAATTCATATACTTAAGATACAGAAAATTTTATTTCAATAGCACGTTTAAAAATGTCTTAGATCAATTTAAAATCCTTACTCTAAATTTTCTCTTGTAAGAAATATCACACGAAAATTAATTAAACTTTCTCTAAACTTAATTTCGCGAAAAATAAAGATTGTCGATCGATTGAAAATTTGAAAATCCCTACTCTAAATTTTCTCTTGTAAGAAATATCACACGAAAATTAATTAAACTTTCTCTAAACTTAATTTCGCGAAAGATAAAAATTATCGATCGATTGAAAATTTGAAAATAACGATTACGTTCGAACTAAAAATGAAAACACGAAACACACGATCTAACACGGTATTTGTCATCTCTGAAAATATTTCTGCTGTTGTTCCGAAAATTTCAATTATATACTTATTTTTACACCTGTAACAATTATTTATACAGCTACAGCTCTTTAACAGGTTCAACGCCTGCTAGTGTCGGTTCTTTAACCGAGAGATATAAAATAACGTTAGAAGTAGAAGGAGGAGACAAGACAAAGAGATGATACTAGAGGTATAGACTGCCAAGTCGAAAATACATATCAGTCACTAACCGACCGAACGATCTAGTCTAAAGTCTTTGAATTTTTCGAGAGTCGCCGATCAGGCATCAGTCCAAAAATGAATCCCACTCTATACTATTGCCAGAGTTGTTTCTCGCTGCTTACAAATTCAACTTTCTCTCTTCTCGTTCCTCGTATGTTTTACTTGTATGATTGTTGTTTTTCTTTTTATCGTTATCCAGTTACATAGATCTTTATAAACTCTGTAGATTCGTTGTAAACAAATTAATAAGACGTTAATTCTTTCAATTTGAGTAGGATTTACTCTTTAAAAGTTTTATTGGTTTGTTAGATTTAGGAGAATAAGGCATGGACAAATTTTATCTATTCCTTTTTACAGAACCTAAATGTAATAATCTTAAGTGTGAATATCTTGAAACTATCATATGTGATAATGGAGATCTTTGAATGAATCGAAGCTACTTTTAGGTATCACTAGTTAACAAAATTTTTGTAAAGGTTTCATTTAAGAAGTGTATTTTGACTTTATACGTAAAACAGTAAGATCTACTCTGATTATTTGAGTTTTCTGCCCTCGACACTTAGGTTGAATGGAAATTGATCCAAAATGATTATGATAATTAAGATCAGATATAATTGTCGAAATTTTTATTACTTAAAAGTGTAAATGAAAATAATCAAAAAATTAATAAACTTATATATTGTCAAGGTTTCAACAATTTCGATCACAATCAAATTTCTTTTGATTATTTTCTTGGTACAATATCTGAATAAAAGGAATCGCTTGATAGAAGTGTATTATCTCACACGTAGATCTCGAAAGCAATAAAAATCTTGCGCTATGCAATTTACCGTGATTAAATAAATCGTTGCAAATCAGTTACTTCTGAACGAAATATTTCTTGATAAATGTAATTAAAATAAAAATAATATTGTTGTCAAATAAAAATTAACGAGCATTAAAATTGATTTGAAATTTAATTAATTCGCATGATCATCTTAACTCGAAATATTATAAATAGCCAAATATTTGTAAACAGTTAATGAAATGATAAAAAAATCATAGTTGTTTTTAATAACGTAAAGTTCGGCGATGTTCAATACTGTTTGGATATTTAAACAGAAATAGTAAAAATACATACAAACAAAGTGTACATATAACACGAAACAGACGTATTAAATATTCGAGCGTAAAGCTCTCGAAATGAATCATGTTTTCAGATATTCAGACCTTCGTAAGAATTTCTCCATATTTTGATTGCTTATCGTTATTAAGATAACGTTAGATATAATCTATAATACAATAACCACGATGTGTTTCGTACTGAGCAAACACGTAAGTATTGTCCACGTGTATAAATTGTACAAAAATGCAAATGACGAAGAACAATCCCAATAGCACATTAATAATCCCTCTACGCTCTTAGTATCGTTTTATTAAATTTAACAACTTTTAAAAAGGCTTGAAATTAAAACGTGCGATAAATGTACTATTGAGAAGCAACACGTGTTTGTACAAGAGTCGATATTTAGGATAAGATTTTCAAATCGAAATATATCGCAACCACGTGAAAAATTGTATCCTTTCAGAAACAACGGTGAGCCACGACTTTCCAATTAATACAATCCCTTGGGTATACATATACAAGTGACCTTGAGAAAAAGAAAAAAAACCTGAAACCTCTTCCAACTTTACCGAAAATAAACAACATTCTTACAAATACCTTACCAACAACAACACACGCATTCACAGGTCGTCTGATCTAAGAAATAAAAAACAAAAAAAAAAAGCAACACACAAGAAGGGAAACTTGTTCGCGATAAATTGTATCTCTGAATCTCGAGTTACTCTAATTGTAACATTCGTTGGAGTAACATTCCTTAGGGGATGAGATACGTGGCATCGTAGACGCACATGTATTCGGAAAAATCTGGCTATTGGAAGAATGGATATACAAAA